GTTGCTGATGCTGATATTTTCATGTGATGTTTGAATGATTGTGTGTCTGACCAAGCGTAGTTGCGCTTCTGACAATGTATTGGCCTTCCTTTGCTGCACCGAAGTTAGTGAATTGTTCACCATGCTTGACTTTGTTCTTAGCAGGGAAATTTGTGGTGATTCGTAATCAAACTTGCAAAGAACATCCTTCTGATTATGTTTGAAGAGGTACGATGGATGGTTGAGCTGAGACCACTGTTTGATATTTGTTTGCCTTTGCTTTGTAACCAGTGAGGGCTGAAGTGAATGAATCTGGAAGTGCTTTAGTGATTAATGCTCTGTCCCAAGTTAAGCATATTCTACTTCCGGTCACTGGCCGCAAGCCTTACCTTTCAGTTCTAATTCCTTGAGGTACCTTTGTGATGCCTTTATTTGTCCATGTCATTATTGTGCCTGCCATATGGAATTTTGAGTTTATCTTTGGTCAGCTTTCTTATCAAATGATAGCCCTTTTTGCTCAAGTTGATTTGATTAAATCATTTTCAGATCACCACAGTTGTGAATATAGCCATTGTTTCAACAGAACAAACCTAAGCTTAGCATGAAAGAGAGTATGAAAGTTCTGATCTCTTCAAAATATGTGAGGGGCCTTGCTACCTTAGTTGTTGCATATGGCATTATAATCAATTTTGTGTAAGTCACATGGAAATCGAAGCTCAAGGCACAGGTAATTTTTTCCGGCTTTTGTTTTTCTTCTTTCCTTGTACTCCTTTAACCTTTTCATGGTTCCTTATTCATTTTGGCAGTTCCCCAGTCCAAACGAGCACTCATCTTTCATGGGTGATTTCTCTACCGCAACTGGACTTGCAACTTTCATGATGATGCTGTTAGGCTGGATTACATTCCAAAGATTTGGTTGGGGGGTGGCTTCCATTATCACCCCCATAGTTTTGTGGTGACTGGCGTTGGTTTCTTTTCTGACTTTCAACAAGTGCAGTTCATTGCCGCAGAGCAGTCTTAGAAGATCCGTGCACATGTAGCCTTATTTCTTATTCCAAATTTCATCATACAAAAAAAAAATACTCAGTGTAACCTCATTTCTGATGTTTGCGAAAATTAGATTATAAAAATGTTGCATAATGGCACATGAAGCAGGTTACATTTCATTTTTTGCCCGGTGCAACGCACGGGCATTTGTACCAGTTAATAATTAAGAAACAAATAAGACCGCTCTCAGCCGTCAGATCTCACGCACGTACACGTACACATACGTTCCGGATCGATCGCCCGAACCGCCTTCAGTCAGTTATATTGGTTTTTTTATGATGGAATTCAGTCAGTTATCTTTCTTTTAGAGAGAAAAAATTCAGCCACTTATCTTCACGGCGTAATTTTACACTTGCCATTGCCAGCCGGTCCAGCGTAATTTTACACTTGCCACCCAGTCCAACATAATAGGGTTGCTGGCTTGCTGCTCTGTTTTTTCTTTTCATCGAGCATTAGGCCAAACTTTATTGATTAACCGAAAGGTGTAAAAGGATGCAGAAAGGGCCGTGCGGAGCAACCATGGCGATTGTGGCCTAAAGAAGAAGAAAACTTTGCTAGAAAAAACAGGCTTACAATCACACGAGTTAGACAGCAGCTCGGCACCCGACATTACTATGGGCCATGGCCGCCTTGAAAATCTTGCCTCTGCACAGGTTACTAGTTTCTGCATACAAACTTTGGGAACAGGATGCCGAAGAAAACGAGGTAGTACAGCCATTGAGCCTCCCATCTGCGCAGCGAGCTTCCGCTGCCGTCTCCATCACGTTGCGTAGCCAACTCGCTGCCGTCGCCCCGACCTTCTCGTCCCCGGCCTCTCATGAGGTGCTTTTCTTTCTAGTTCCAGGGCACAACACAAGCGACTTATGTTCGTCAGGTCACTTTTCCAATCTCACTCAGTAACCAACAAATATTGGATCCTTAACAGCGGAGCAGACACAGACATGCATAGACCGATAAAATGCAGGAAACCAAAGCTTGTGCTTTCATTCTGCACACAAGAATCACAAGCCAAACTTAAATATCTTTAGGCAACCCCAACCTTCTACTCTACTCTACTCCAACTTGGAGGCGCCCAATCTTCGCTCTAATCTTCTCAATAGCCTGCATTTCATTTCATCATGTACCTAATAAAATCAAAAAAGAACATGTGAACTTATTGCTCCTACTGCATATCATGATATATATCCTACGAAAACACATGACAGTGCTAACTTCACGTGCATATATAGTAGGCACGAATCAAAGCCAGTTCAAAAGACAAAATGTTAGACAACCAACTCGTACCTGCATCCTGAACGCCCTCAGTATTAGAACAATAGTATCTCGTGATCTGCAAAATCCAAAGAACCAACACTTAGGCCCCGCTTGGAATGGGGGTAGATTTATACACCTGTATTACTTTTACAAGTGTATATCACCAGCTATCTGTTATTTCCAACCGGAAAAGAAAACGACTGATTGAGGTCTGTATCTTTTACAGGTGTAAAAGCGTGGAAAACAACAATTCAATCAGGCCCTTAGTACCTATGTCCCCATACAATTCTTACGTTCTAAAATATAAATACAGCAGAGACACAAACAATGATGATATTAAACTGAAAAGTGTTATTTGTCGAGCCTTCGGCAGACCATCGAATTCAGATTATGTAATGAAATACTCCCTCCATCCCATAATATAAGAACGTTTTTCAAGCTAACATAGCTTAAAAAATGATCTTATATTGTGGGACGGAGGGAGTAGTACATAGTTTCAAACTCACTGGGAATTTTCTGCAGGCTTGAGACTATACTCATCACCATCAGCAGACTGAAGTGAAAATTCAGTAGGACGCCCACATGGGATACTGATCTGAAAACATAGACCAAGATTAGTTGTCTTCTTGATTTTGTGAGGAATGCTAGATTAGTTGCCTTCTTCATTTTGTGAGGAATGCTAGATTAGTTGCCTTCTTCATTTTGTGAGGAATGCTAGATTAGTTGTCATCTGTGCATGCACAACAAGACAATGCAATGCTCAGTTCAATATTTGAGAACCCAAAAGTAAATAATGCATGAAGCAAAACTAACAATTACTATCCCCGGTCAGGAAAGAAGTGCTATTTTTACTTGAATTCCTGCAAACTTGACAAGTCATTTTATTAAATTCACAAAACCTACTAAATTATACCATTATGAAAGTACTTTATGTGAAAATATGTTACTAATATAAATTCCACGGCGCCAATCTATGCTCCCTGTCCCTCCATTCCAAATTAACTTGACTTCTACTCCCTCCGTCCCAAAATAAGTGTCTTAACCTTAGTACAACTTTGTACTAAAGTTAGTACAAAGTTCAGACACTTATTTTGGGACAGAGGGAGTAGCTTTCAAGGCTAGAGAAAAATATATCAACATCTAGAACACCAAATTAGTTTCATTAGATTCATCATAAAATATATTTTTCATACTATACATATGATGTTGTAGATATTAACAAATTTTTATATAGGCTTGGTAAAAAGATTGAGCCAAAACAAAGCAAGACCTTCAACTAATTTGGAACGGAAGGAGTACTTGGCTATTTACAGAGACAACACTATTTTACAAGATTCTATCACGAAGTCACGCTTTACTGTGACTGGACAGAGTATAATCAGAAACAAGAGACAGCCAACTATAGGAAACATACAGCCATGTATTGCTGGAATGTCTCTGTAGCAACAACACCACGCTGTCCGTTGCACTTAATGCTGTAACCTTTCCTCGTTACTGCCAATACAGCAGGTTCCCACGTTTCTAAGACCGGAACCTGCAAAGTTAATGTTTCAAAGATTATGTGACATAAAAAAGAGTGTAGAAAATTCTTTGAGCCTTGGACCGACCGCCGGCAGAAGGACTTCATAAGACACATGGCCAACTGAAAGGGTTTGCTTGATAAGCTCCTTTGTTTCAGGATCTGCACAGATAATGATTCTGTACTCAGTGCATGCATGGTTCTTTAAATATTCTCTTGTTGCACTCAAACAAAACCATTGCAGAATTAACATTATTCGAGAAATTCTTTAGGGGGGGCATGGAGCTGAGATACATCATTAGTTGAAACAAAACATGTGCAATTTGAACAGGAAAGTTCACGACATCTATGCAAGATGCAAATATCATCTCAGCAAGCTCACCGCAAGGAATTTTTCTTTCCTCATTAGCATAAACCTTAACGATGCCCCCCTGCAAAACGAAAGAAAATCTTCAAATAGAGTTAAATATAATGAGCATCCTACTGAAAGTTATAATGGCCAACCCTTTTGTACTATCCAAACAAACAATGTATGGGTGCCGTACTAATTTCTTGATGGATACGGAGATAGTTCTAACCAAAGAAGACCAAGCTAAAACAAAAATTCCGATCGAGAATGGTCAGACGAGAGGATTTACCTTTCTTTCTCGGTCATCTAGTGGCTGGACCTCAACGGCTAGTATAGTGTCCACATCATCCGCGGTAACTAGATATATGGGCTGCCGTGCACCTGCATCAGGGAAGGACAATGTTAATTTGAATTTTCTTACAGTACACCAATATAAAAATAAAAGCCTCCTAGCATCTAGTGGAAATATATATACCTTCTATGAACTTCTGCGATCCATCTTCCAAATGGCGTACCCACTGAATGCACAATTTATTTTCATTTTGCAAACGTGAGAGTTGTACAGGACTCAGAAACGCAGGAATTTAGTAGAATGTCAGAATATGTTGAAACACATTTATAAAGCGCACCTCAAATTTGCAGCTTGTGGTCCCGTTGATGGAATACCCACTCACTTGAAGTTCTCCTCCAGGAAAAGCTTCACCGGTGATTCTTAGCCCTTCCACGCCTGGCAGCGGGTCGTCCTCTTCATCTGAGTATTCATTCTCAACCCGCTCTATGTTTTCTGATATGCTCCTAAGAGGGCCCATGAGTGATGGGTTTTCATCATGTACAGCATGATAATCACGTTGATCACTTCCTTGCGCTACAACATCCCTGATAATATTGTTGCTGCAAAAAGAGAAAACAGACCTGGTAAGACAACCAACTTTGTCTATCTCTACAATCTTGATTGTTTGACTACCAAAATCTTTCTGCTAAAAGGTCCCATACATAAATTTAACTGTACCAAAATCTTGACAGAATAGCACGCTTTACCTTGGTGCATCGTGAGCCATGGCCAAACTGGTGTTTCAAAGACATAAAGTTCTCCATTATTTGTAAAAATAGGTGGGCTTAAGCAATAATTCAAAGGCTTTGCTTCACTTTTTCACTCGTAAATGTTTGGAACAAACATGGGTCATCTCCTCTCTCCCCCGGCCTCTCTCCCCCGAGGCGGCGGCGCCGCGCCGCCCCCGGGGAGTCCCCATCCACACCGCCATCAACCCTCCCCCTCCATCGCCTCCCACTAACGCCGCCGTCGCTGAGGACACCACGGGGCGAAGCCCCTGTGGTGAGGCGGCGGCGGCGGCGCAGTCCTCGGCCGGCGATAACGCGTGGGGGCAGCGGCGTCCATCTCCCTCCTCCTCCAATGGCAGTGCGCAGCGGGTTGGCGGTGGCCAGGATATCTCCGGCGGCCATTTGGCGGATGAGATTTTGGCTCCGATGAGATCTAATCTGAGCCCGAGGAGTTTAGATCAAGATCCACTGCGGTTGCGCCTCGTCTCGACAACGGCAAGAGGAGATCCCCCTGGGTAATCTTCGCGGCACGAGGACGTCCGGGTCTCTTGGCCCGGGCATTGGTGACTGCCTTCTCCACCGAAGGCGGTTGGCCAGGCTGGTAGTGACGGATCTTGGATCCCATTATTAGCATCGGCGGCAAGTTGGGGAGACATAGTCGCCGGTGAGAACCGAGACGACTCCGGTCATGGAGGGCGATGGCGGCGTCTACGTCGTTACCTTGATGAAGGCATCGTCAAGCAACTATCGGCAACCTGCTCGTGCCGCCCCGGGAGAAATCCTAAGATCACCGGATCGGACGATGGTGGCGCTGCGGTGTCATGTTCCCTATTGGGGGGCATCGTTTGTGGAGCGGCGCCGGATGGAAGAGGCGTGAGGTGGTGTGGCATGCCTTCTCTCGCGTCGATGACGGCGGGTCGACTCGGCGGCATGGAGAAGCGGGGTCTCGGCGATGGGCGTGTGATGATGGACGAGCGCAAGATGGTGGCGTTGTCTGGCGTCGTGGTGGCGTCGACGGCAGCTAGACCGGGTAAGGTAGATGCAGCAGTACATCACTGAAGATGGATTGGTGGCAGGTGGATGCGGCGGCCTCATACCCGGCAGGCGTCCTAGTTGAGGAGTGCACTGGACTAGTGGGTGCCCCATACCCGGCAGGCATCCTGGTTGGGACCTCAGGTCTTAGATGTTAGGTTTGGCTGCGAGGTCTGTTTGGTTTAGGCCCAGACTATCAACATCTCTACATCAACTGGATAGGAGTAGCGACAGATGTTGCGTAGACGGTGGCTTTATTCTTACTGTTGTATGACTTTGTAAGGTCTTGTGTGAATAATTAATAAAGTGGTTGCATGCATCGTCCAGATGCAGAGGCCGGGGGTCCTCCTCCTTTTCTAAAAAAAAGACATAAATGATTCCTAGATACTATATTAATTCAAAGAGTGAAGAAAAAAGCAGTTTAGAGTCATGTAGAGGCAACCATAATATCAAGGCAATTTGCCTCCGGATTCAAAATTTAAGTAGCATAAATATATTGAATAGTGAATAAGGATTCATGTCCCTTGTAAAATTGCATTTTTTTAATAACTAGAAATATCACTAAAACGGATGAATGCATCAATGTTGTAAAAATGAAAGGAAAGCCTGGGCGCACTCATGCCAACTAACAGTCTTAATTACCTTGTCCATCTGTAAGCCTGATCATTTTTGAGCTCTTTGATCACAATTTCAGTCTGGTTCAGTTTATGTATGATATCCACTATAGTAGGCCTTTTGTGCCTATCATTCTCCATGCATGTCAATGCTATTTGAATGCATATTTTCACTTGGTTGCAATAAGCTTCTAGTTGTCGGGAAGCATGCCATGTTTCCTGCAACCTCTTCCTCCAGTTTACATGTACCTATGAAATCGAAGCATACAGCTAGGATGATAAATCCTCCTCCAACAACAAGAACTACAAAAACAACAAAGCCTTTTGTCCCAAGCAAGTTGAGGTAGGCTAGGATGATAAATCCTCCTTTTGAAATTATAAGGCTTATTTTCTAGTCATTGATGAACAAGAAAAAAATTAAAAATAGCTTCGGTGCCTCCTTTTTTTGTACGAAATATAGCAGTGCTGCTTTCATTGATATTAAGTAAGGAGTAGTAGAGTAATTTTCATGCATAGACAATACTACCTCCATTCTATTTTTTATGTAATTTTAGAATGCATGCGGTCGGTCATTCTTTTTTCATGTATAACTTTGACCCTTAATCTGCACACACAAATTTGGAGTGGGCAAATGCAATAACTAGATTAGCCACAAAGCTACTCTCATGCCATTGCATCATTAGGATTTTTTACAGACATGTAGTAAGACATAGTAATGATCAATATGCATGTGTGCATCATTATGATGCAGAGGCGGGGGACTGATCCTCCTTTTCCAAAAAAAAAAGACAAGAACAAGCAAAAAGGATTGAAGTTGTAGAAAATAAAGTTGGATATTTACTAGGTGGTTAAAGGAAACATAAAACTGGTGTTGCAACAGAAATTTGGAATATGAAATACTTTCATGTTTATGAACAAAATACACTAATATGTTAGGAAAGGGTACTTTGCAATGTAAGACTATCATAATATTTGCAAAAATGACAGTTGATCTGTTTGATGAAGTGAAAATATCATTACTTACTTGATTAGTAAACTCTTGGTGTGTCATTTCAGCCCTTCTGGTGGGGCCTCTAGGTCCCGTAATTATCTTTGTCACTACAACACCCAGACTGAATATGTCCAGCTTTTTCGAGACTACGTGTTCAAACAAATATTCTGGAGGAACACGATTCAGAATGAAGACAAGCAGCCTGCAGCTCTTCAGGGCTAAACCTCATCAATGATAGACTCAAACAACATGTCACGAAAGAGAACACAGATGAAGTATTGATCAAGGTCACGAGAAGACACTAGAGGATGGCTCTCGCGTGCGCTGGCTCTGGCGACGCCCTGGTCGCCTCGGCGGCGCTGCCGCTGCCGCCCTCGCCCCTGGCCTCGCCCGCGGCCAGCCCGCCGGCGCCCCCCTCGCCCGATTCCCCGCCGTCTCCTCCGGCTGTTCCTCCGCACGAGTTCTGGGCGGACCTCGCCGAAGCTGCCGATGTGGCTGCGGGCCGCCCCATCGCCTGCCGCGACCGCATCCCGCCCCGCGCTCCGGTCCGGCCACCTCCATCCGTCCCTGCCGGCGGCCCGACTCCCAGGGGTGGGAGTTCGGCCTCCCGCGGGACCGATCGGCGCCACCGGCGGGCGTCGGGCACGCTGCC